CTGGTGGCCTCACTCTTGCCCTGGGGACGCCCAGTTGGGGAGCTCCTTTAATGTCCTCGGAAGGAGCTGGAGCAAAGGACGAGAGGCTCAACCCCCACCCCACAGCAGCACACGGGTCTCGAACATGGGCTGGCTCAACTCCTGCTCAGCGTCTCAACAACCCTCCTGAACAAGTGCTAACTACCCAATTTGAATTGGATCTTTGCTACCTGACATCCAATGTACTGGCTGGTCATTCCCCTGTTTCTCAACCATTTCCCCCGCCCTCCCCCCGACCGTGAACATTTCATGACTGGATCTCTCGCCTCTTGGAGAACGCCTGGTAGAACGATCACTTTCAAATTACATTACTCGGTAACCTGCAGATTAGTTTTGAAAGTTTGGAAAACACTCCCTCTATTAAGCCAAGCAAGGAAAAAACAAAATCCAACCTGGTTTTTATAAATGGTGTAGCCTTCTTTCTCGTGCTGCAGAGCTGACCGAAACTCAGCTTTACTCTCATAGACACGGGCTACCAAGTGATGGCTGAAAGACAGATACAAGAACGGAAGATGGGAAAACGTTTCTATGCATCCCTGAAAGAAAAGTGCGTGTGAGACAATGAGAAGTGCAAAACTGGCTGAGGTGGAAGAGTGGATACTCAGCATCTCTTAGAGGACCATTTAGCCTACTTAAAAGCCAGTTTTGGTCTAGTGGTTAAGGCACCAGATTAAGAAGCAAGAGACCGTGAGTTCAAGCCCCTTGAAAGCCAGCTGGGTGACTTTGAGCCAATCGCTAATTAAGAGACTGAGTTCTAATCCTGCCTGAGGCATGAAAGATGGCCGGTGACTTTGAGCTGTTCACTAATAGACTGCGAGTTTTAATTCTGCCTTAGGCATGAGAGGTGGTTGGCTAACTTTGGCCAATCACTAGGTGACTTTGAGTTCTAGTCCCTCCTTAGACCTGAAAGACGGGGCTTTGGGCCAATCACCAGGAGACTGTGAGGCATGAAAGGTGGCTGAGTAACTTTGAGCCAATCACCAGGAGATGGGAGTTCTAGTCCCATCTTATGCCTGAAAGCCAGCTGGGTGACTTTGGTCCAATCCCTCTCTCTCAGCCCAGCCCACCTTACAGGGTTGTTGTTGTGGGGAAAATAGGAGGAGGAAGGTGTCTGTTGGGATCTGTTTGTCATTTTATTTGTAAAAATATAAAAAGTGGGATGTAAACAAATAAAATGCACGACCCTTGCCTTCTGCAGCATTTTCTACAGGCATCTATGAAGAGAAGACGTTGGTTCCCTTTTAGTGTTTAGGAAAATACATGAGATTATTTAGAAAGAAGGGAAAGTGCCAAATGGCATGAGATTATTGGAAAATCTGTAAGAGGAAGCTCATTTTGTTGAAGGGACCATTGGTGCCTTTGTGTGGGTGGTTCGAGCAATAATTCTTGAATACTTTCAGTTTCACGGTTACCTCTACCAGTTGCTGGCATACCCTGAATAGATTCATGCAGGTTTCTACACAGGATGGGTGTTCAGTTGTCACCTGTTGGCAGAATTTGGGAAGAGGAATCTCACCTCAGTGCAACCTTTAGGGACTTGGCCCCGTGGAATTTGGAGTTGATCATAAGTGCGTTCTCCAGGAATCGCAGTGAGAGGTCGTATTCCATAACTCCGTGGAGGACCAGGCCAATATTGTTCTAAGGATGAAGATCATGTGCCAGTTAGAGCGAACAGGGCAAACTTTCAGCTCTGGGTTGATCTCTATAAACAGATCGCAGAAGGACCACCAAAGAATCCATCACAACATATACGTAGTGCGACTTCTGACCACAGCTGGGACCACAAACTCCGTCGCTAAGCAAGGTAGTTCTCAAGTGAGTGGTGCCCAATTTTATGGCCTTTTTTTGGTCACGGTTATTAAGTGAATCACACGGTCATTAAGCGAATCTGGCTTCCCCCATTGACTTTGCTTGTTGAAAGCCAGCTGGGATGGTCACAAAAGGAGATCACATGACCCCAAAACAGTGCAACCATCATAAGTTCATGTCAATTGCCAAGCGCCCAAACTTTGATCACAGGACTGTGGGGATGTTGCAACGATTGTTAAATGTGAGGATTGGTCACGAATTATTTTTCAGTGCTCCTGTGACTTCAAATGGACACGAAACAAATGGTTGTAAGTTGAGGATTACATATACAAAACACCAGCTTTGGATCCAAGATCAAAGACTGAACAAAGAATTTGCAATCCGATGCTATTATTTCCGGCCTAACACTGTCCAATTTTTAAGTTCTGCTTATACATCAGGGTTTTGGTTTAAAGATTTCGCTGCTTTATTGGCAAAATACAGGTAGACCTCAACTTATAACGGTTCATTTAGTGACCATTCAAAGTTACAATGACCCCGAACAAAGTGACTTCTCTTTTTCACACTTAGGGTTGTTATAGCAACCTCATATCATGTGATCAAAATTCAGAAGCTTGGCAACTGGCATGTATTTATGACAGTTGCACTGTCCCAAGGTCATGTGTGATCACCTTTTGCTACCTTCCAACGAGCAAAGTCAACGGAGAAGCCAGATTCACTTAACAACTGTGTTATAACAACTGCAGTGAGTCCCTTAATAGGTGTGGCAAGGAAGGTCGTAAAATGGGGCAAAGTTCACTTAACAACTGTCTCGTTTAGCAAATAGAAATGTTGGGCTCCTCTGTGGCTTTAAGTCGAGAAGCATCTGTATGGATCTATGTTGTGGGAGCTCCATGACTGGAAGCTTTCAAGAAGAGATTGGACTGCCATCTGTCAGAAATGGTGTAGGGTCTCCTGCTTGGGTGGGTGGGGGGTTGGACTAGATGACCCAGAAGATCCCTTCCAACTCTGTTATTCTGTTATGCATGCCTGGCCAAGGTTTAACCTTAACCTTGCCCTTTTGCAGTTCAGTGAGTTAATTAATACCAGGACATTTGGTTCATAGTTGCTTCAGTATAAAGTGTGATATCGGAATCCAGCTACTATCTTAGCTAAGCTAAACCGTAAATGGTCATCACTTGAGACTTTCAAGTAGAGATTGGACTGTTGGAAATGGTGTAGGGTCTCCTGCTTGGGCAGGGGGTTGGACTAGATGACCTACGAGGTCCCTTCCAACTCTGATGATCTGTTATCTGTTTATGCATTTAGGCACGGTTTGAAATCTGCACATATCCACTGTATTGATTGACCTGGATTGAAGCTTTGGCAGACCATGTGAATTTATCCCATTTGTTTACCCCAACAAGGAGGTGTGCACAAACTTTTGAGAGGCTACAGGCTGCACTCTAAAAATATTGAGTACAGAAGTAAGAAAAACCACCTTTTGTTTAATTTCATGTACATTTCAATGCTTACATTAAAATCAAGAGGGCAGAAAAGAGCAACTAAGATCAATAGGGAACTGGAACATAAAGCATACAAAGAATGGTTGCTGGAACTGGGTATGTCCAGTTTGATGAAAAGAAGGCCTAAGGGTGACATCATAGCAGTGTTCCATATCTCAGGGGCTGCCACAAAGAAGAGGCAGTCAAGCTATTCTCCAAAGCACCAGAAGGCAAGGACAAGAAGCAACGAATGGAAACTAATCAAGGAGAGAAGCAACCTTAGAACTAAGGAGAAATTTCCTGTTGGTTAGAACAATTAATCAGTGGAACAACTTGCCTCCAGAAGTTGTAAATGTTGCAACGTTGGAGATTTTTAAGAAGATGTTGGACAACAATTTGTCTGATATGTTTTAGGGTGTCTTGCTTGAGCTGGAGGTTGGGCCCCTGAGGTCCCTTCCAACTCTGTTACTGGCTTCTCTCCAGTTATTTAGTTAATGGTCTTCCCCCCCCCCTCCACTGCATCAAAACTACAATATACTAACAACATTTAGAGCTTTGGTGCCTGTTAAAAGAAAGCGCCTGGGGACTGCAAGCAGTCCTGGATTGTTAGATCTGATTAAGACAAAGAGTGACATGAATCACTCAACTGAGGAGGGATGGCAACACTCGCCCCAGGGGGAGCATAAGTAGCTACAAGGGAGTTACAATTTTTATTTCCTAAAACAGGTCAGGCAAAGCAGAAAGTTATGAGTGAAGCACGGTTCGAAGAGATGGCTCAGCTTGGGGCTTTATTTACCCCACAAAACACTCTGGTGAGCCAAGGAGTGCATCATTTCCTACCCACTGGGTGCCTCTGCGTCTGTGAATCTGCAGATGAGCCCGCCGTGGTAAAGCTCAGTGCTTTTAAATCCCCTTTATTTTAATCCCCTTTTATTTTAAACGTCTAACTTCCCGAAATGGATTTGTTTTAAACTGAGAAGAGGAAAAACTAAGGACGACCAGTTTACTGCTAGACAAAATAAATAAAATAATAACTAAAAAAATCCGGAACTGGGTCATGTCTTTTCCAACTCACAAATTTTATTAAAAGGCAAACAGTTTTTGTGAGCTGTGGTAATGGATATACAGGCAGTCCTCGACTTGCAACAGTTTGCTTAGTGGCCATTCGAAGTTACCACAGCACTGAAAAAAATGACTTATGACCATTTGTCACACTTACGACCATTGTGGCATTTTGATCATGCGATTAAAATCCAGACATTTGGCAACTGACTCAAATTTATGACGCTTGCAGTGTCCTGGGGTCATGTGGATCATCTTTTGCAACCATCTGACAAGCAAAGTCCACGGGGAAGCCAGATTCTCTGCCCGGTTGCTGGCTGGGAGTTGCCATGGGGGCCCCATTTTCACCCTCCCTGGGCTCCAGAGGCTTTCCTTGAGCCTCTGTGAGGGTGAAAATGGCCTCCCCGGGCTCCGGAGGCCTTCTGGAGGCTGGAAATGGGCCCGTTTCCTGTCTTCTGGAACTTCTGAGAGGCCCGTTTTCCACCCTCCCTGGGCTCTGGAGACTTTCTTCAAGCCTCCGGGAGGGCGAAAATGGCCTCCCCGAGTCTCCGTGCAAGCCCTGCATTTATCTGGGACTCCTGGGAGGGGTGGGGTGGGTAGGGCCAGCCAGGGGTGGGATTGGCCGATTCGCTGAATCGGCCAAAAATTAACAACCAGTTTGCCTGAACCGGGGTGAGCCGGTAGCCGCCCACCCCTGCAATTTTCCCTAAGGCCACAAACCCCATGAGCATCAAAAGCTGAAGAAAAAAAAATCCACTTTTTTCCCCAGAGCATCAGCAAAGCTGAAGAGGCAACTTACATCCAAAAGGGCCATCTCTGGGTGATCCTCCCCAAATACCAACAGCATGAGGTAGCGTGCGCGGTACAGCAGATTGAGGGCCGTGGACAACTGGCTGTTTGCAAAGCAGTACAAAGCAAGATGCATCTGTAAAGGAAGGGGAGAAATGCTCAGACACACAACGGCTGGCCCACCACAGTGTCCGCTTGATCAAATCTTCTTTTTGTAAAAAAAATAGTTTATAATATAAAATACAAAGATACCAAAGAAAATAGTGGGAAAATAAAGGAAGGGAAAAGTGTAGGACAAAACAAAAGTCCCTTTGAATTCCGACTGCCTTTGGTACAATAGGATAAGATAATAGTATCAAACCTCAATTTTTTTACTGTTACATAATAATATGAACTTAGCATTTCAATAACAAGGAACCTATCTAATTGGTAAATCCCAAATCAAAGTTTCATCGATGGAGTTAGCAGAGATGGCTAAACTCACTGCTTTACTTTTGTTTCTACTTGGAAACCGCTTCTGGACTTTGTGCTTGTGGTGGATCAAAGTTTTTCAGATCTCCGTTTACGACAGGGACAGAAAGCAACCCCCCTCCTTCCCACCAGCCCTCTTCCTTCGTTATGTTACTTACATATTCTTGGATTGTGTTGGGATGCTCAATGCCCAGGACTCTTTCACTCATTAGCACCGCTTTCTGTTGATTGCTTAAGGCCTAAAACAGAGAAGAAAATGCAATTGGGAAAACTACATCAACTGCTGTGGCTGGCATTTATCGGAAAGCTCCCATTTTGTGCAGCGGAAGCTATAACCAAGAGGGTGTGGCTATAGCTGCTGTGAAGGAGGAGAAACCTTTTTTTAAAAAAATTTAAATAAACCTCTAGATAGACTACTGCAACACACTGTGCATGGGGCTGCCCTTGGTGGTTATCAGAAATACAAAATGCAGTGGACTTCTATTTAAAAAACACGGTTGTGGATGCTGTACTGGTTGCCAGCAGGTTGCTGAGGATAAATGATAGTCCTTGTCATTACCTAAAATGACCTGCATCAGCGGTGCCCAACCTTTATGGCTTGGCAGCCCGGTTGAATGGTGGAGAGAGGAACTGGACTGTGTGAGCAGTGGGCCAGCACAAACACACAGCTTGACTTGAACAAGTGGCAGGCCAGTGTGCACACATCCAAGTGCCTACTATCTCCCATATCTTAACTTACTGCACCTGTGTATGGTTAGCGAAGTGCACAGTGACAGATAGGACAGCACTCCAGAGGGTTAACATCATTGCCCAGAGGATCCTGGGTTGCCCTCTCCCCTCTTTGGAAGAGCTTTTTATAGCTCCCGCTGCCTTAAGAAAGTTCAAAACATTCTCAAAGATCCATCTGATCCCAGGCACCATTTTTTTTTAACTATTACCATCTGGCAGGCGGCACAGGATAATAAAAACAAGGACAAATAGGCTGAAAAACAGCTTCCATCCCAGGCCAGTAACTCTATTAAATCCTACTGCATAGTGCAGTATTAATGCAGTATCAGGGGTTTTCAATTCAATGTACAGAATGTGAAGGATGTGTGTTTATGTTTATTTTCATAGTCATAATGTGCACTGAAAACGGCATTTAACTTTGTTGTGTGAGGTGCAATGACAATAAAGTAAACTAAAACTAAAAACTACTGGCTTGCTGCTCGCACAAATTGAGCTGTGTGCACGCATGCTCTGGCCAGCTATTCACAGGGCCCAATTCCAAATATGCCGCAGCCTGGTACTGGGCCATGGCCTGGGGACACCTGATCTACATGGCTTAGCGCAGTGGCCCCAAACCTTTTGGGTACCAGGGACTGGTTCTGTGGTTTTTCTGTGGATTGGGGTGGGGTGATTCCATGTGCTACCTGCATCCCGCAGATGGGGTTCCATTTGTTTGTACTGGCCAGTTTCTGGCATGCCGCAGACCAGTGCTTGTCCATGGTGCAGGAGTTGCGGATCCCTGGCTTAGCGCCTACATCAGGTGTCCAACCTTGGCAACTTTAAGACCTGTGGGTTTCAACTTCCAGAATTCCCCAGCCAGCATGGGGAATTCTGGGAGTTGAAATCCACAAACCTTAAAAGTTTGAGATTGGACACTCCTAAGTCTAGATGCTTCAAGGATCTCCTCCGCATAATGCTTAACAGGGCCTGCTTCCTACCTAGGAATGTTGACAATCCCGTCTCCTGGTCCCATAAGACTGATTTGGGCACAAAATTGCCATCTTTTCAGTATACACTTTCTCCCCAGGACACTTTACTACCAGAAATTCAAAGCTACTCCTCCCCACGCTCACTCCCCAACACTGTGGTATTTTCTTCTAGGTAAAACACTGCTTTGGTTTCTTAGACATTTTATCTGTTTTATTCTGCAACTTTTCCAGTTCAACAATATCTTTGGCGCTGGTGACCAGGACTTATACACAGCTTGCCATGTGGAGTCCTTGGTGTTTTCTGAGTTCTGGTTGTTTTCCTGCAGACCTTTCATCACCAAACTAGGTATCGTTATCAGTGAGTAGCGCTGACCTACAAACATTCTCTCCTATAGCTTGCCATTTTATCGCAACAGACAGGAGTTCGTTTAAGGCGGGGGTGTCAAAAGCTCGATTTTATTGAGGGCCACATCAGGGTTGCATTTGACCTCGAGGGGCTGGGATGGGCGTGGCCAGCTCGACGTCACTCATCGAGGCTCCATTTCCGGCCGCAATGGCCTCCTGCAGCCCGCTGCCAGTGAAAACAGAGCTCGGCACACGGCCCTCGGCACACTGGCAGAGACACTGCAGGCCAGTCCTTTGCTGTTTCCAAGGTGGCCCCGTGGGCCAGATCTAAACACCCCGTTGAGTTTGGCACCCCCGGTTTAAGGAGACCATTAGGCAGAACAGAAGGAAACATTTGTTAAAAGCGCATGAATTATGGATGCTACAAGTTGTGGCAATGACTTCCGACTAATGCTAAGCGTGAAAGCCCATCCATCCTTAGGACTGACAGAAGGGAGCCCTCTGCCAGGTATGCAAAACCAGGTGTGTAACTGTGTCTTGATCTGCCAAGGCTCTTAGCGATTATGTAGAATAAACAGACTCGGAATCCTCTTTCTCCATACCTCTGAATAATCACCCATTATGTAGTTCAGGCGCGCCAGCAGCCGAAGACAGGCACAAATCTCCACGTGCATTGCGCCGTACACGTTGTTAAACAGGTTTAAGGCTTCGCTGATTAATTCACAACCCTCTTTCAAGAAACCTAGGAGAAAGATGGAAAAAAAATAAGATCCTCTTCCCTGAAGATACTAACCTCACGTACTGGGGTTGCAGAAAGCTCTCTGCTTGTTTGCAAATCCATTTTTCTAAGAAGCAACACTTGGTTCTCCTTCTTGCTCATTTTAAATCCACATTCCTGATCTTTATGGCAGTCGGTAGATAATAGGGTTCAGCCAGCTGATGATGGTGGGGTATTTAAAGAGGAGATCTGTTGTTTGCCAGCCTGAGGAAGTTAAGAGCTTCCTCAACGTTTTTCACCCTTAGTTTTTACCCAGGTTATAATGGCTCAAAATTTCCACTCATTCTGTGGGGAACGAAATTCCCCGCAGATCCAACTTTGAGAAATACTGAATTTCAGCAGCATCCGCAAGATCGCGGTTTCCCCATGCCCACGTTAGCATGTTTATTAATTTATTTCCCGCCTTTATTATTTTTATAAATAACTCAGGGCAGCTAACATACCTAATACTCTTTCTCCTCTTATTTTTCCTGCAACAATAACCCCGTAAGGTGGATTGGGTTGAGAGAGAAAGGGACTGACTTAAAAGACACCCAGCTGGCTTTCAGGCCCAATTCACGGGCTCCTGGTTTCTAACCTGGTGCCTTAAATTTATAAAATAAATAACTGGTTCTTTCTATGGAGATTCTCACTCATACAGCTCATGGTAGTCCCAAAGGTTCTTTTTCAAGAGGTAATTGGACTTTGTTTTTCTTTGAACAACGTTTCACTTCTCATTCAAGAAGCTTCTTCAGCTCTGACTGGATGATGGAGAATGGAAGGATTCATATTCCTTGCAGACAGCTGGTCATTTGCATTCTTTTAGAGCCTCGTTGAGGCCGCCTGGAGGTTTATCTGTGTTGTCAGGTTCATGCAAAAGGGCGTGGAGCTTTCTTGCAACCGTTGAAAGGAGTAGATTGATATCATATCCTTCGGCATAACCTATCTCCAGTCTGCAACACACTCCTTTCAACAGTAACAAGAAGGCTCCACACCCATTTGCACCACTCAGGTGAACCAGACAACACAGATAAACCTCCAAGTGGCCTCAACGACTCGCTAAAAGAATGCAACTGACCAGCTGTCTGCAAGGACTATAAATCCTTCCACTCCCCACCATCTAGTCAGAGCTGAAGAAGCTTCTTGGAGGAGAAGCAAAATGTCTTCCAAGAAAAATCAGAAAGTCCAGTTGCCTCTTGAAAAAGCACCTTTGGGACAGAACAATTGAATCCTTGTGGTCTCTATATTCCTGGAACTGAACTTAGGGGAAAAAAGGGTACCTTGCTCATTTCAAAGGGAACCAACATCGGATTTAATCAGCAACCCACTCCCACCACTGACTGTTCCTTTCCCATGTGAAGCTTGGAAGAGACTTCCATCAGGAGTTCACACCTTGTTGAACTTTTGCCTGCCCACTCTGGAAGAAGTGGAACGCATCCGAAGCTTTGGGGTTGACGTGTTTCACAACGGGGAAAATGTTGAGGACGTCCTCCTCAGTGAATGTTGGCTTGTGACGGTTATCAAAGTTATATTCTTTCAGCAGGATCTGAAATGTACAAAAGCCAGTTTTCTAGACTTTCCTGAAGTCCACAGGAAGACCTATGGAAAAGGACCTCTAGGAGATCACCTTCAGCTACCTAGGGTGGGGTCAGCAACATGTGGCTCTAGAGCTGCATGCGGCTCTTTGGGCCCTCTCCTGCGGCTCCCTGTTGGATGTTTCAACCACTGGCTGGCTCTGCCCCTGGGTAGGCATAGCTGGGGTGGTGGTCATGTGACTTGGTGGGAGTGAATGACATTGAGTTGGCCACACCCACCCAGGTTTTGTGGCTCCCGGTGTTTTGTTTTCTGTGGGAAACGGGTCCAAATGGCTCTTTGAATATTTAAGGTTGCAGACCCCTGATCCTAGGGCCTGGACGCTGTGCTGGGATATAGTCCAGGTTTTCAGGAGGGAAGGGCACTTTCCCAGTGGAGAATCCCCATTTGTACATGAAGGTTTTTCAAGGAAAGCTTTCACACCTGGGAATATTCTTCCCTTGGAGATGTGGCTGGGTAGCTTGAAGCTACTCTTATTCTAGAAGGCCCCAAAGATGGTCTTTGAACTGGATTTGCCCAAAATATGACAATTTTTTTTTACATTTGTTGTATTTTATGATGTTTCTGATTTATGCTGCGCACGACTCAGAGATGACTAACATTGGGCTGGTATAAAAGAATTCTAAATAATTAATCTCATGACTGTCTCCACCCAAACCATGCAGACAGATGCGAAGGAGATGACCTAAGGTAGCTTTTGTCATCCTGTAGTCTTCAAAACTCTGCCACAGTTAACCTTGCTGGATGGAGAATGGCATACTGAGAAGGTGTGCAGGTTGAAAAGGCGAGCTTGTGCATGAAAACTTCCTGGGTTCCTTAGAATTAGGTTGAAGAAGTGAGGTGTGGCGAACAGAACAACGATTTACGCATGCCGATCTCACCTGAATTCCAGTTTTGAGAGAAATCTCCCGCAACAGGGTAATCTTCTGTATGTTGTACATTTCTACTGCTTGATCAACGCTTTCACTGCAAAAGGAAACAGACGTCAAGAGGAGGAAGCAGAAAACGAAGCAGAACAAGTATCGACAAGCTCCTCCCTTGAGGTAAAGATGCTCCTTTGAGATCCAAGCCAGTAGCAACATTATGGAAGCAGTTTAGCTTTTTCTAGTTTTTTTTTACCCCCCGCCCCCAATTACTTGGCATTAGTAGTCCTCGAGTTATGACAATTCATTTAGCAACTATTCAAAAGACCGAGTGGAGCAAGTGGCCAGTTTTAAGTTTCTGGGTGTTACCATAAAAGAGGACCTGACCTGGGGTGCCCACACTGCAGCCCTGGTCAAAAGGGCCCAGCAGAGGTTATACTACCTGAGACGTCTCAGAAAACAACCACTGAATGAAAAACTGCTGGTGACCTTCTACTGCTGCACCAGAGAGAGTGTTTTAACTTACTGTACCTCTGTATGGTTTGCCAATTGCACAGTGGCAGATAGGAAAGCACTCCAGAACAGCAGTGGCCAACTGGTGGGCTGTGGCCCACTGGTGGGCCGTGAGAAAATTTTGGTGGGCAGCAGAAAAATCTCACCCCCACAGCACCCCCACAAAGCAATTAATCCAGACTATGAGCAACTCAATCTGCCTGCTTTGCCTGATTTTGGGTAAAAGTTGCTCTTTTTTATAAAAAATTCAATATTTACATGTGTGGTGTGTTGTGAGTTAATTTTGTGAGTTTGCTTGCAAGCAAATTTTATGTGACAGACTGAGCTAGCTAAGGGCAGATAGATAGATCTCTGAATGAATCTGTGAGCAACTCCATCTGCCTGTCTGCATTGCCTGATTTTGGGTAAAATGTGTTCTTTTTTATAAAAAATTCAATATTTATATAAATATTTATAATATTTACATACAAGCCATGCCCAGCCAGTCACATGACCACCAAGCCACACCCACAAATTAGGCCATGCCCACAGAACAGTTAGTGGTCCCTGGGATCTAAAATTATGAGTTTTGTGGTCCCTGAGGTCCAAAAGGTTGGCGACCCCTGCTCCAGAGGGTTAACGTCATTGCCCAGAAGATCATTGGTTGTCCTCTCCCCTCTTTGGAAGAGCTTTATCGCTCCTGATGCCTTAAGAAAGTTCAAAACATTCTCAAAGATCCATCTCATCCCGGGAATCCTTTTTTTGAACTATTACCATCTGGCAGACAGTGCAAGATAATAAAAACA